TAGTTAGAGGTCAATTTCTTAAAACTACTACTTCTCCTTCTTCTTCTTCTTCAATTTCTTAAAACTTCTTCTTCTTCTTCTTCCTAGCTTCTTCTCTTCTTCTTCTTCCTAGTAGAGTTCAATTTCTAAACTTCTTCTAGAGAGTTTCTGCTAGTTAGAGGTCAATTTCTTAAAACTACTACTTCTCCTTCTTCTTCTTCTTCAATTTCTTAAAACTTCTTCTTCTTCCTAGTAGAGTTCAATTTCTAAACTTCTTCTAGAGAGTTTCTTCTTCTTCTTCTTTTATTTCTTAACCCATCTCATTGCATGTCATGTAATTTGAACTTAAGATTTCTCACTTTTATTGGAAATAAATTACTATTAAATTATTTAAGTGAAGCAAAGCTTTTATTGGTGTCTTCTTCTTTTATTTTATGAGCTTCTTAAATTATTCTATCAATTTTCTAAAATTTGTTGTTATAATTATTTGACTTCTTCTTCTTCTTTTATCGGTTAGAGTTCAATTTTTTTAAACTTCTTCTTCTTTTATTGAGTTTCTATTGGTAGAGTTCAATTTTTTTTTTTTTTAACTTCTTTTTCTTCTTCTTCTTCTTTTATAGCGTTTCTACCAATAGAGTTCAAAATTTTTTTTTTTAACTTCTTCTTCTTAGAGTTCAATTTTCTTCTTCTTCTTCTTCTTCTTCTTCTTTTATAGCATGTCTACTAGTAGAATACAAATTTTTTTTTTTTTAAACTTCTTCTTCTTCTTCTTCCTTTAAATTTTAAAATTACGGCTATGGGTTTTCGATTGCTAGGATGGGTTTAAGCCTAGTCCTTGAGTTTGTGGAAGGCTCCTTCTTCTTCTTCTTCTTTTAATTTTAAAACTACGGCTATGGGTTTTCAATTGGCAGGATGTGTTTAAGCCTAGTCCTTGAGTTTGGAGGGGTCCACATAATGGAGGAACTTGGCAAAAGTTTGGCAAGATGAGAGGGGAAGACAAAGATTTTGGATTTTCAATTGCTAGGATGGGTTTAAGCCTGGTCCTTGAGTTTGGAAGGTTGCACACAATGGAGGAGCTTGGCAAAAAGGATGGCGAGATGAAAGGGGAAGACAGATTTTGGAAGAAAAAGAAACGAGAAGGAGATAAAGAGAAAAATCTATCAAGATAACTTGATTTAAATTTTTAAAAAAATTATATATTACCAAGTCATTGGTCCCATGAATTTGTCCCCTTTATTAGTCCACTATATCATTACCTATAATGATATCATTTTTGATAAAGAATCCACCAAGGGATGGAGGGGGAGTGTTAGGTCGAACAAGCTAGAGTGGCTAGAAATTCAGAGGTGAGCAAGCAAGTAGGATAGGTGAAATAATGGTAAGGGCCGACACACTTGTGAAAGTTGAATGGAACTAGAAGGGTGGAGGCGTATTTCGGTTATTCAATAATAGCGTTTGGCCATTGTTGAATTGTTTTCATCTTTTTGGAAAGAGTCCATGAATATTGAATTTCCCTAGATTTGTCTTACAAGGCAATATGGGGGTATAATTAATTCGACAAGAGTGTTGTATAATTTAAATTGTTTTAGACTACACAACTTTAACAATTAGATAAGATAGGCTTCTCAAATTGAAGCATCTCTCTTATCTAATGGTTCATGTTTTATAAATCAAATTATAAAATAGAAACTCAATTATTCCTCAAAAAGTTGCCGTTGAGTAAAAGATTTTTGAAGAAAAGATTATTGAGAAACCAACAAATGTTAAAAAAATTGAAGTTTAAAATAGATCATTGACTTCAAGATATGTTGAACATGTTACTTTTTAATTGCATTTTTTGCCCCACCATCTCAATATACAAAGGGGTCGTTCAAATAACTAGTAAGATACAAAAAGTCATATTGATTACGTCTTACACTAATAAAATCAACCACTAAATCTCTCTTTAAAACACAGCAAAGCTATTACTTTTATATAATAATTTCTACAATTGTTGTCTAAAAGCAAGGATATTGTTTGTTTTCCATATTGGATTCTAAGGAAAGGATAAAGACTAGTCTTTTTATAGGCTTTAGGTGTATATTCATAACATATTGTTTATATTATAAATTGCAAGACTTAAAATTATACCATGTGTCAATTTTTTTAAAATGGTTAGATGAATTAAGCCACATTCAAAGGCACTTAAAAGTCTAGATGCCATGTAGAGAGAGAGAGAGAGAGAGAGAGAGAGAGAGAGAGAGAGAGAGACGCCGAAAAGATGAGATTTATCCTTTAGTTACCCATTTGAGTCATAGTGGAATTGTTTTATCTAGTTTTTAGGAGTTTGTCTCAATTAAGATTGTAAGTTGACAGATAACAAAGACAGATGAAAAAATCTGGATGGAGATCTAACTTAGTTTACTGTTGAAGTGTCCATCTTCTTTAAGAAACCAACCACATTTGTGTAATTGCCTGGTAGTGGGGAGTTGTGGGTGGGGAGGAGACAAACAAAAGGAGATTTTCTGATTATTCAACACATGACCAGCTCTATACACAATTCGTCAAATTTTTAGTTCTCTAGTTCATAGTGATTGCTCACTTTAGCTTACAAATTTCGGTTTTCAACATAGATTCTAGTAGATTTAGGTTGATTTCAGCATTCAAATAGCTGAATTAGTTTGTGTGGTTGCTTCTACGATTTCCTTTCGTATAATAAACATCAAGCTTTTCAATTTTTGTAAGGTATTTTTTTTTTCTGATATTAGTTTAATGTTTATGATAAGTAGCATTTCTTCAAATGATCACTTACATGGTGTTCATGCTTCTTTTTAATTTTTAGCATGTTAGTTTAACCTTTGTTCATATTAGGTTCATGATTATTTAGGACTAAATCTCAAGTTCTGCAGTAATTTGATTTCTAGATCTGTTTGTAAATAATAGTTTAATTCAACAATAAACATGCTTAATTTAATTTGGATGCATCTTTTATTTGCTAGTTTACTTTAATTTGCATGTCATTTAGTTTATTTAGGATATATTAACTTTAATTCACGATAGTGTTTAAGTTTTTTGAATTGTTCAAGGCAGATTTAGCAATTCATTTTGTACAAAAGCATATCTCCTTCTTGCAAACCGTTTGAAAGCACAAATTTCGATTTTAAACCAATATTCTTCTCGCTATCCACAAAAAGGTTGATAGTAAGGAGGGAGAGGGTCGTTAAAAAAATCTTCCTTTTTTACTTTACAACAAAGCAAGTGATATGTTCGTATCTAAATTTCGTATATGCGGTATCGCCTAAGGATTTTTGAGGAAACACATATACTCTTTTTTCTTTTTTTTGTTTTTATTATTATTATTATTATTATTATTGAGATAACATACACTTCTTAAACAATATGATTTTTTCATTTTAAATTACTCCTAGAAGAGTTTTACTATGGCAAGAAAGCTTTTCATTTACGTCCTTTTGGAACCATCGTCTTAATTCTCATTTTGGAAATTTATCTCACATTTCGCTTTTCTGTTTCCACTTTTGAGGAAACCAAACACGCCCTTACTTTCAGACTTTCAAGAAACCTCCTCCATGCTTCGTGACTCGTGTAATCGTCCCTTACCATGCAATCTGCGGACTTACTTGATGCTGTAAATGGTTCTATTTTTTGTTTTAGGATACAATTATTCAATGGTTCTAATGGAGGTCACTTGTTTTCTTCTTTCGCTTTCGCTTGGAAGCTCAAGCAGCTGAAATGAGGATCTTGTATCCTTTGTCTTTGGAAGCATGAAGAGCATATGCGCACGTTGAGGTCATCTTTGATGAAACCACCCTACGTTTTAGAAATTTTTTTTTTTTTTCTGTTTAGAGGTCAAGTGTTCCTGATTAGCTTATGTGCACATCCAAACTATTTTTTTTTTTGAGTGAGTTAAAACTAAATTATTCACTTTAAAATTAGAGAATTTATGGAAAATTAATCCCTTATTAATTTTTTTTCAAAAATTGAATCTTAATTAACAAAATGACAAAACAAATCCTTTTACTAACTAAAAAACTAACTCCTTGGGTTGTTTTAAAATTTTTTGAATCTTCACAAAAGAGAGTAAAATAAGGAACAACTAGAATAATATAACAAAATACCTATGATTAAAAATTACTGAAGACAATGATAAATGTTCCATATAGATAAACTAGTAAAAAATTGTGCTCCAAGGGATGTCTTATTAGTTAATAGCTTGAATTTTCTTTTTAAAAATTTCAAATTTAAATCTTAAAATGACTATTCTTATGCCCATCAGCTGAAAAACCAAAAACAAGAAAAACTTGGACAAAAAATTCAAAATGCCAAACGAAGCATAAGAATTTTTAATTCAATTGGTAAGCTACATGATCCCTATCTTCAATACGGGAATCAAAGTTCTTATATGTCTTAATACAATTAACATAAATCAAGAACTGCCGATTAAAAAAAAAAATCATGAATTCAAAAGCTATGGTAGAGGGTGCCGGTGTATTCTTACAGGCACAGCCACAAGAGAACTAGAGCATTAACATTCCAGGGATGAACATCTGTTGCAGTAAGTAATGGCCGCCTTGAGGTTCTCGTCTCGTTCTTCAGCATTCATACCACTATAAGAGTCAGCCTGAGGACTCGGCGAAGGTCCCACATAATGACCTGATTCGTTTCTCACCGGAGCATTGGAATGATTCTTGCTTGATTTCTCTTCATCAGTTTCGGGGTTTCGTTCCATGTTCGGACAGAAACACCTGCATTTCCAGGGGTTCAATGACTTCCAGAAACCTCCTTCCTTCCCTGACTTCCCCATAGTTGAAAGCACCTATGAAATGGTAGCAGCGGAAGGAGAAGAACCAAGAGAAGATAATTCACTCTTCTTGGCTGTAAAGCTAAATGATATGGGGTTCTTGATTTTTCTACTTTCTGTGGACTTTTTTGAGAAAGAATCATGGCGAGATTCCATTTCTCTTCATTTTTGTCCACTGACAACCAAGTTACCATATTGAAGACTTACCAAATACAATTAACTGAGATAATATTACCTGTGCACAGTCAGTCAAAATAAAATTTTACATAATTTCTGGGTATTTTACATAATTTGCCCTTAAATTTCTAACCAATGAACTGATGCCACATGCTATTTTAAAGTTACCCCCCCCCCCCCAAAAAAAAAAAAAAATTTAGTGCATGAAGTTCATCAAAATGCTTGCATATTGAGAAAGTTAATATGATCAGAATTCATCGTGTGGACTTCTCTTTGGTTCATCATGATAATTTGCTTCTGGTGAAGTATGTTTGAGAGGATTTTCCAGGAGGTATCTTGTGGCCAAGGAAGCATGTAGCGCTGCACCATATGGAAGTGCATCCTCGTTGAATGTGTAGTAGGGTGAATGCCCCCGTTCAAACTGCCCTTGAGTCTCATTCTTGAACCCGAGATAGTAGAAATATCCTGGAATTGCCTCTGCAAAGAATGAAAAATCCTCTGCTCCCATTAGCAGTTTCATTTCAAAGATGTTCTGAACACCCAACATGTCCCCTGCAGCTTTTCCGAAATATTCATGCAAGACTTCATTGTTTATAGTCACAGGGTAACAGGGATTCTCATTTGTATTGAAGGTGACTGATGCATTGCACCTCTGTACACTAGCTTGTCTTGTGACAACCTGTCACATGCATTGCAAGAGGCCATTCATAAATGAGTACCAAAATATCATGTCTATAAATGAAAGGTAAATAACTTTTTCTTAAATTCTCCTCTCGTCCTTCACAGTGGGAAAGAAAAAAAGGAAAAGAGCAAGAAAAGTGTGGAATTATTTCAACTTTTTAACATTCAGTTGAGAACTGTAAATGGGAAATTTGTCAAAAATTAGAGTGCATACATCTTCTATTCTTTGTTTAAGTTGACTGAAGCTTTCTTTTGAAAATGCTCTGAAAGTGCCTCCAATGGTAACAGAATCCGGAATGACATTAAAAGCACCGCCCCCTTGAACTTTTGCAATAGTAACAACCTGCAAAAAGTACATTTTTCCTAATGAATGGGAGTGTCACATGACATTAAGAGGAAAAGACTTTCAAGCAATATCAGAAATGAAATCAATAACAGATTTCAAACAAACTTATGTATTCATTAATATCCCATGGTAAAGACAAACATGTTTTGCAATGGATATTTATCAAAATCAGAAAAAGCAAAAACGAGGGGAGAGGGAGAATACAACATTTAAACTTTCATTATATCAAAATCCCTCCTAGCATAATGAATTCTTTACATGGATGGAAGTAATATAAATAGAAAATTATTAAAAAAGGTTAACATCCAAGACTACTGCTAGATGTTTGTTATGTGGACAAAGAACAGAGGAAATTAAAATTTTCAGAGGAGTTTTTGACAAAGCAGGTATGGTGGTGGTATTACATATGGCAAAGGGACACTTTTTTTCTCCAAATGATAGTATAGAAAAAGAAACCTGAATTATGAAGCAAATCAGAATATGATTGAACCAGAAATGTATTGTTCAAGAGACAGCAAGAACTACCTGAGAGTCCAAGGGATCAGCTTCACGTGAAACTAGATGTTGCAAACTGACAATCACATTGGAAGCTGCTAAGATTGGGTCAACCGTATGCTGTGGAAGGGCCGCATGACCCCCCTTTCCATTTATTACAACCTCAAAGAATCCACTAGCAGCCGTAATAGGGCCAGCCCTGGTGGCTACAGCACCAATAGGATATTCAGATGAAACATGAAGTCCGAAGATGGCTTGCACATTATTCAATGCTCCAGCATCTAACATTTTTTTTGCACCCCCACCTCCTTCCTCAGCAGGTTGGAAAATGAGAACAACTGTTCCCTATCAAAACAACAATTGCTATATTAAATTACAATTGTGACATGGAAACTCTGTTCTCAATCAGTCAACAGGATAGGAAAAACATTAGAATCTCTGAGTCTTACCCGGAAAAAGGTGAAATGAACAATTAATAAAGGAATTTTCTAAGCTGTGCCTTAGGGCACAGGTTAAGGGTGTAATTATTGCACCTCTCTATTATTAATTTGCTTGGAAAAACTAAAAGCTGACTTAAATTTTATTAACCGTCTAATTAAATTGTTCTACATGGCATTGATATTGAAAATACTTTCATAATTTTCTATACAAATTAATTATAAAAAGGTGCAATAAATGCACTCTAAAGGTGCAATAAATGCACTCTTAAGGGCATAGGTTAGAAAGACCCATTAATAAAATATAAGAAATCAATGTAGATACATTCTTGAAAGGGAATTCTGCTACGATGCTATGCTTAACAAAACTGATATTTTGATATTTATTTCTTCACTTCAGAATGCACCTTTAATACTGCAGAAGTTCTTTTTATCATGGGAGGGTATGTGATAGAAACTAGTAGAAGAATTAAGCAACAACTGCTGATGCTAAATTTGGTGTATCATGTCAAGAAGCCTATCTACAGTCTTGCATCTAATCCTGGATCTTCCTTCTGCTAACTGTTGTGTATATAAAGTTGGAAAGAGGATGTTCAAGATCTCTGAAGAAAAGTAACATAATTAACAGCCAGCATGTAGCTCTGTAGTGGCTCTATCTTGTTTATGCATTAAGCATGAAAAGCCCCAAGATTATGATCTGGTTGTTTTTCCTGAATTAGGCTCAAACTACTATTTTCTTTAGAAAAAGGCACTACTTTATATTCTGCATTTTGACTTACTACATTAGTAAAAGGTTCAAATGGTTCATCCAAAAGTATTAGCTTTTTTGGAAATCTACTGAAACATAAAAGGCAACATAGTGAGCAGAATCAGAAGGATCCTTTGGTTGAATTAATTTAACATACATGCAATAGCATTATGCCCCGATTTTAAGAGAATCCATGGCATAAAATGTGTAACATTTACATAACAAAAGATCAGCAAACAAATGTACTTCAGCTACTATTGTCAAGAGAATTCTCAACTAATAAGGAAAAGTACAGGAAGTAACCTGTAAATCTTCACGCCGCTCTTGAAGCATCTTAGCAGCACCAAGAAGCATGGCAACATGAGCATCATGCCCGCAAGCATGCATCTTCCCAGGAACTTTACTCTTGTGCTCCCATTCCACAGCCTCCTGTAAAATCAAAACCCCATTATTATTTATTCAGTCTCTATTGAAGAGAAACAAATAACTGTGTGCAAAAAGTAAACAAAATTGAAAGAGACCTCTATGGCTAAAGCATCCATATCTGCTCTAATGGCAACAAAAGGAGGCCTACCGGTGCCAACAAAGCCAACAATACCAGTTACAGCAACTGGGTATTTGTAAGGGATACCCATCTGATCAAGCTCGGTTCTAATAAGCTTACTGGTCTCAAATTCTAGGAAACCAAGTTCTGGGATTTCATGTAGGTTCCTTCTTATACCAACCATCCAATCCTTAATCTCCGGTTTCTTCGCATAGTCAAGGAAATCCAGTGGGATTTTAACTGATTTATCTGGGTTTATTGAAGGAGTTGAAGAAATGGGAGTTGGCATAAGAAAATAAAGAGCTAAAATCAGAAACACCCATCTAAAGAGAGCCATAATAAGCGACTTGAAATTGAAATCGGGATTGGATTGAAGAAGTTTGGTTTGGAGAGGTGACTTCAATTCATTTAGAACTTAATTTAACAAATCATTTACTAATTTTTATATTTTTTTAAGTTTGATCTATTATTTTTTTATTCTTCCAATCATGTGTACTATCTTCAATATTCGTTTCAATTTCATATTAGTTTTTATTTCATCTAATCTAATCGGTTATTTTTTACAGAAAACTTCTTAATCTTTTAATTATATTTATTTTAATCTTTTAGCCCTCAAATTTATATTTACTATAAAAACAGCTTTTATACTTAAAATTATTGTTCTTAGCTTTGATACCAAATTTTTCTACAAGTTTTCAAAACTTAACTCAAACTACTACTGACTAATGAATAATTGGTATGTTAAATTTAGTAAGTGCGGTATTAGATTTACTAGACTGTTAACAAAGATAATATTTGCTTGGCCTCTTTTAATCTTTTTAGATTTTTATTTAAATCTGCAATTGTTTGCTTCAACTTTTTGAGATTCTTAGATAGATGATAATCATCTTCAATATTACTTATTTTTTCTAAAATTTTTACTATTTTATTTCTATAATATTCGCATTGCTGCTCATAAACTATCTTATCTCCAACAATTTCTTGAATAAAATCAAGCATATTAAATTATAATGGTTTAATATAAAATAGATTTTTCTATTCAAAATATAAGAGGTCAGGTATTATTTCCCCATCATTTCTCATCTAAAAAATAATCTAATTTTAAAGAGTAATAAAGTTGTTTCTATGCCCACCTTACTTCCGCATGATAAAATAAATGAGTTAGAATTTTACTTGAAAATCCTTTGGACTTGCTTTCAGTCAAGCAAATGCTTCCTTCGTCCAACCCTTAATGCCAAACTCAAGTTATAATGGGCATCCAAATAGGACAAGTGACATCACTATTGCCTCAATTTCTTTAAAATTCTTCTCATTTTATTTTATGATAGAAATAAAGAAGGTTTGAAATACAAGAATTATTCTAAAATATAATTTTATTTTTGAAAAAAGAAAGGGAAAGTTCCCTTTTCTCTTGAAGGGTGTTTATAGATGCATAGTAAAAGGCTTTCAGGTAA